GGATATAACTCTAGCGAGTTTGTTTGTGTCCTCGTCTTTGCTTTAGTCTATTCTGTTTTATTTTGTCTTTTGTTTTGTTTTTTACTGGCACGTACCCCCGCCCCTTCCTTTGGCCGTCGACCTGCCTCCATGTAGTGGGAGGCTACCCCCCCAGAGGCTGGTGGTGCGGCCGTTCCACTAGTCTGATTATTTATTTTATTTTATTTTATTTGTTTCTGATTATATTTTGTTTTCTTGTATTTTATCGCTCTGCTGACCCTTGGGGTCCATTTTATTTTGGTATACCTTTTCTAGGTACGTTAGCCTGTGACCACGGAAATTGGCCGAGTCAAGTGATGGATTAGTACGGAGAGATTGAGACAGAAGGAGGTACTGGATAGAGAGACCGGGATGGTTTTTAATGTGAAGACAACAACAACAACAACAACAACATAGTCTACATCGTGCGGAACATGGATCACCGAGCGGGTTCCGCCCGGCCGGCACCAAATGCATTCGTCGCGTTTCTGGCGCCCGCGGACTCACCATTGCCCGATGACCATACGAGATTTACCAGGGCCGGAGATAACGGCTACTTGGGACGGCGGGGTAATGATGCAATTGCCTGCGAGAACGGAACGAGAGGAGAGCACGTAACGGCGACAGTCGGAGATAAGGCCGGTTTCGGTGTCAGGTATCAAGGTACGGAATACCTTTGTCAACCGACCACACAGGCCACAAGAGCGGCGCAACCGCCGAAGCATCTGCTACTTTACCGTGCACAACGGGAGCAGGGCATGGTCTTGCCAAGCAGTGTAAGGGTGTCGTGTGGTGTGCTGGGAACCGTCTGCGGCGGGGTGTAAGCTTGCCCCGTTTACTGCCGGGGACAATATTAAACAAGTGTTAGTCTAGTCTACTGTTCCACGGGTAGACAACAACAGTAGTAAATTCGCTTGAGAACACCACACGCGGCCTACAATAATCAGAAAGCCCATGTATCATAGCAAGCGCATACCCATGTTTGGTGTCCAATGTAAGAGTGCCCGTGTTCTCGGTCCGTCGTGTACTTCTCCTCTACTGCGTGTCTGCTGTGGCGCTGTGGCTGTATGACCCGAGTTGGTGCAATGGTTGAAGAGGCGGCGGATTGTGCTAGTAGGGGTATGGATGGAGGCGGGCGCGGAACGGTCCGCTGATACGGGGTGTCTGGGGACGGGGACAGAGGCGCGCGCGGAACATTCTGCTGGTACTGGTACGGGTATGCGATCCGAGAAATTTCCTTGGGCAGAGAGAGCGGAAAAGTGCCGGGTTGGGAGGTTGGGGCCGTGTCAACAAGCCCTTTGTGCCTGCTGTGTTCTCGCTGGCAGTGCGTTCCGGGTGTTCGAAAATAATGGCAACGCCGAGGAAAGGGGGAACTGGTGACGAGCAAGGCAACGACGTCCCCATCGCTCGTGTTGTCGACAGACCGGTGGGTGTGTTGGCCTTCACCGACCCACTGCTGTCCTACCGTATGTGACGTAGGTTGCTTGGTTGCATTACGTAGGATATCACACCCCCCTTGCTCGATTTTCAAAGCTCAATTACTTGGCAGGAAAAAGAGCGACGTTGCCGAAGATGGAGGTGCTAGGGACCGTCTCGTCGAGAGCTTTCCGACACCATATCCTTTGATTTCAGCATCATCTTCGTTGTGGAGTAATGACGCTTCGAAAATCGTTGCGGGGGTGTGGTATCTTACGCACCCTTCGGTAAGTTCTCTTGAACGAACGTGTCTGCTGAGCGCCTTCCTCCGTAGCACCTGACCAAGGTTTCGCCGCAAACACTTGGCGCATTACTCTCTCTCGTGTTGCCTGTGTTGATTCAGAGAGTGTGCGCCGATTGTCTACGTGCAACCCACGAGATGTCTGGGTTCGTCCTTCGGAGTCTTGGGAAAACGTTGAAGTACTTGCATACATCTTCTTGGAAGTACTTGCTATAACTTCTTGGAATAAGACGCCGCTTCGCCCCCCAGCAACCCCCCAGCAACCCGCGCCTCGAGAGCTCAAGAGTCACTCGTGCAACAGTCTGTGTGCACAGGATAAGAAAGCTTTGAACGGGGATCGAACAAAACCGTTTCTTTTTCCCGATTCCAGGATATCGGAGGAATGGACGGGATCCCGCGTGTGGTACACCGCTGCTCTTGCGGAATACTTCAAAAAACAACACATGCCTTGTTATCGATTGTCGTGTACAGCCTGCGTGTTTCGGTGCATGCCCCAAAGCAAACGAGCAAACAATACCAACGGCCTCATGCCACGTCGTACAAGTCCGTACAGACGCAGTCGGTGCTTTGGGGCTGATCGATAAGGCACAAGATGCATGGCGGTGGTGGCACCCGCTACATGTATGCACCTGCCGTGCGCCTTGTCGCGCCTCGACCTACAAGTCCCGGACGCTGTAGACAACAGGCAGCAGGATGCTATAGTATTGATAGAATAAAGGACATGTATCACTCGGAAGTTTAACAGAGTTCGACATATTTACAATCCTATCGTGCTGACACGTGAAATTATTTTTTTTGCTCTCGTAAGACACAAGTACCACTGAATAGGCATCAGTACAGGGGAGGGATCAATCTTTGGAGTACCTGAGGGTGGGCATTAAATTTTTTCAGTCATCATCTTCGGGTCGTGGATTGTTTTCGCATCGTAGTCACCCCTTGCACGTGCTGACCACATAGATTGATGGGTGAGTATTGAGCTTGCACGTCGGCTACCCCGAACCGTCTTGATAGCTTGGCAACCCAACGGACGCGCTATCGGCAACGCTTGCTGTACCGTTGTCGACAGGACGATGACCGAAGCAGAAGAGACGACGACGTCGCCGTCGTAATCGGACAGCTCGTTCCTGCCCCGGCGCTACCCGCCTACGCGGTATCAGCAACGTCAAGGGCAACCCCCGACCGCACTCCCTGGGCAGCCACCTCGCGGGGACCTTCATCTTCTCCCTCGTACGCAGCACCGGTCATGCACAACAGCACGGGCTCGTTCAGCGTCGCTGGGACCAGCACTTCGGGGGGAGCCCGCAGCGGCGGCCTTAGACGTGGAAGCAGCGGTGGCCCGGTCGCGGGAGGGAAAGCACGCGGAGGTGGCGTTGAGGAAGACTCTGCTTCCGCTGCTGCTGCTGGTGGGGAAGGGACGTACATGCCGGTGATGACACACACAGGGATGCATAACGTCCCCGGCTGCGGTATCGCTAGCAGCACGGGGGGGAGGCGTTTCGGGGAGGGTGCGCCGGCGACGACGGCCGCCGCTCGCGGCGCTCCGTTTGCGCTGGGTGAGCAGGAAGGAGGCTGCTAGGAGTGCCGAGGGTGCAGTCTGCAGAGGCAGGCTTATGATTTGCTACGGGGTCCTGATGGGCAATGTAGCACAATTTTGGTTTTTATTTATCTGTTGTTTACAACCGTGTGGGTTCTCAGTCTCAGAACTAGTTGGGCGACTGCTCCCAACGAACAAGTCTTAGGACGATCAAGGCATAAGCTTCGTCGAGGTGGTTCTGTGACAGTTTTGCCCTCGTTCGAAGGGGCCGCCGCCGGTCTCTCGCGCCCTCCTGCACGGGTGCGTCGACATGCTGAAGATCGATCGCCTTTCTTTTTTTTTTTCTCCCATCTTTGGACTCTGTCGTCTGCCCCTCTGGCCACTATCCTCCACTTCTACCAGCTAGACGACCCAACCGGGCTCACATAGGAGGGGGGGGGTGAACCCCCTCCTGCGGTTCCTGCTTGAGATATTTTTGCCCAATGTAAAGCGCCAGACCACCGCTCTCCCTTCCGTGCACTAAACCCATCCCGAAGGCACTCGTAACGCAAAGCATAGATATCAGAGCGGGTTGCGTTAGCCTAAACGCGCCACCTCGGCCAGCATATGGATTTTATTTATTTATTTCTCTCATGGACGCACGTCCCTACTTTCGAACACATCAGAAGGAGGCGGGGGATCCTTGCCGATGAAGGACGGAGACTACGTAGCCGACGGGGGCCCCGTGCTTGTCGCGTGCGGACAGGGGAAGTCGATGTACAAAGTCAAGGGGTGCATCTCGTCGTGGGTTCTCGTTGGCGGTGGTGGCGGCGAGCAACCAGACGCCGTCAAAGAAAAAATGGCTGCAGCAGCCGGCGGTGGCGCCGGGGAGGGGGGCGGAGGAGGAGGTAAGGGGATATGTTCAAGCTTTCGGCGATGTTCACCCGTGGGGGGTCAGGCGTTGTCCTCCTATATGATCGATGCCAGTCCTTTTCCCAAAATCTACTCGCAAATTTACAGGCTGACCAGCCTACGGTGACTGGGAAAACATGGTGTTTGCCATTCCGCATTCAACGATTTGGACAAGTGTGTAATCCGGTTTCGCTGGTGTAGTCTGGGTTGACACACCTTTGTTCCAGGTCTCCTACCGATGCCTATTGTCGATGGCTGCAAGCCCGACTGCATCGCATCTGGAAGGAAGCTCATTCCAGTCTTGCTGCCATTATTGTTTGTGGTGGTGGGGGTGTTGATGGCTACCGTATATGACACAAGATGACACACCCCCTGGGCCGATTTTCAAAGCTCGATTACTCCACGACGAAGCGGATGCATAAACGAAAGGATACATTTTCGAAAAGCACTAGACGAGACGGTTTCAACGCTGCCGTTTTCGGCGCTGTGAATGTTCCTGTAGTTGAGAAATCGAGCTTCGAAAATTGGTCAAGGGGGTGTGTTATCTTGTGTCATATACGGCATTTATCTCGGGCTTGTTCGTGTTAGTACGAAGGCTCCTCTGAGTACTGGTTTACTTTTTAACGCCTGTTGTGGTCGAGAGCCCCTACTGCATTCGACGACAAGACCTTTCTCGATGACGCAACCATATGATACACGCAGACAATCGTCTTCGGGGAGATAATCTAACATGCATAAGCACGTTCCCGGCACCCAGCACCCAGCAACCAATCCTGGGCACTTCGGTCCGAGGACAACCCGGCCGGAGACGGCGGAGTGATGTGCTCGGCGTGCGTTCCATCCATCGCATCAGGGCAATCGTCGGGCACGCTTATCACGGGGGGGAAAGACAGCGTTCTGAGGGAGTGGGAGATCGCGGAGGGACGCCCGCGCCTGGTGGCCCACATCTCGGGGTAAGCGTGGGTAGGTTCCCCTCCTTCCCAGCGCTGTGAAGGGCAGACGTTTAATTGACCGCCGCGTAGCAATAGTGAGCCGGGAGCTCTGTAGCATCTATACTGCGCTTCTGTTGGCCAGCCCTCGTCACAGGCATGCGATGGTAATATTCTCATCCTCGCTCTGAGTAACCCTTGCCCGACGGCGGCAGCCACCGTGCCCCCCCCGTCCTCACATCTCATGCCCTTTTCGACCTCCTTCGTACCACCCCTTCATCATCACCATCAGCTTTTTGTTAGCACCAGCCCGCACACCACGACCGGCGTGTGCCCGCCCCCCTGCATGCCTCAGCCTACATCCGGCTCACTCTACGCACCGCCCCCTCACTCGAGCTAAGTTCCCACCCAAATCGCCCCCCCCTCCCTCCCCCAGGCACACCGACTGGATCTCCTGCTGCGCTCTCGTTCCCTCCGCGACCGCCGGCGTCGCCCCCTCGGTCGTGGTGTCCGGCGGGCGGGACGCGTCCGTTCGCTTCTGGCATAAGTCCGCCGCCGCCGCCGCGGAGGCCGCCGCCGCCCGAGCGGCATCGGACGCCCTGACCAAAGAGTCCGCCGGGGGCGGCGGGGGCGAGGGCGGTGGTCCTGTTCCGCCGGGCGATGGCGGGTGGTCGCTGGCTTCCTCCGTGGCCACGGCGCACGGGTCATCCGAGTTCGTGACGTGTTGTGCCTCCCCCGGTGGGTCCTCGGGGGCGGCGGCGGGCTGGGTGGCGACCGGGGGCACCGATTGGTCGGTAAGTAGGAGGCCTGCTCGCGTGTGCCCAGGATTGCCGCAAGAGTTTTCTGCTTTTGGGCTTCGTCTACATGAGTTTGGCGATGTGTAGTTGATGGGGGTTTGATCCATCCGTTGGATACGCAGTGGCTACGGGTCGGGTTTGCTTCAGAGCTCGACGTTGTCTCCAAACACGATCAGTTTCGCTACCGTTCTGCCGTCGTTGTGGTGCCATGCGTTTCCGACAAAGTTGACACCATTTCCCTCTTCTTGTGTTGTCGCCAAACCTCGGCGCTTGAAAATGCTCTCCACTGCAGCTACGCTATCGTCATCGAAGACGTGCCTTGAAAGAAGCGCCCGTGATTACCCCTCTGTACGCAGGTTCGACTGTGGGACGTGGTCAAGTCCCGTGAGTTGGGCAGGCTGTCCTTCATGGGCCACAGCCACCAGGTTCGTTCGCTGGCGTGCTCCTCGGACGGAAACCTTCTCGTCAGCGGGGGCGACGATCACAAGGTATGCTTCTTCCGTCTCTTTGGCATCTATTCTGTTGCATCCTCGGATATATTTTGGCATTCAGCGTCTCGGTCCCGTACTCTATGGGGCCGTATCATGGCTTAGACTATATCGCGAACAATACGTAGCTGTGGTCGGGAGGAGGGAACGGCCAAATAAATCATGGTGGTTCCATAAAAAAGAAGGATCTAGAAGATATGGGCGAAGTGACCACGTCGGCCTCGTGGACGGTCCCCAGGGAAACAGACTCGTCCTCAATGGCACTCGTTGGACCCCTCTCGTCATGGGGACTCGCACTTGGCGCGGAAGTATACCGACCCGTTGAAAATCCCGATATTTTGGTCGATTCCGGCTTTCAAGGGGTCCACGCACTCCGCGCGATGGAATGAGCACCCACCCCCACCCCCCGGCCGGCCTACCGACGACCCAGGTCATCGTCTGGTCGCCTCAGAGCCGAAGAGTTGTCGCAACGCTCAAGAGCCACGCCAGCGCCGTTCACGGCGTCGCCGTGGACCCGGGCACGCACTCCGGCGACGCCCCCCGATGGATAGCCTCCGGCGGCGGCGAGGGCTTCCTCCTCGTGTGGGACCCCAGGAACTTCGGCTCCCCGGTCGCGACCCTCCGCGGAGAGGTAGCCGCCGCCTCCGCCGCCGCCGCCCCGTCCTCCCTGTCGGGGGCCTTCTCCTCCGGCGTGTCCGTCGTCGAGCGGGAAGGCAGCCTGCAGGGAGGGCTTGCAGGTGCGAGGTCGAGGGGGGAGAGCGGCCGGTGGGAGGGGGAGACCGCGGGCGCCACGATGCTGAACGCCGTGAACTGCCTCGCCGCCGGCGGCGCCGGGAGCTGCGGGGACTGGCTGTTCGCCGCCGGGGAGACGGTCGTCCGGTCTTGGCGACGGAGGGACGGGATCTGGCACGGCGGGGCCGGGCTCCCCGGCGAGGGGCTGGGGGGAATCGCGAGCCTGTCGGTGATTGAATAATTTTTTTCATAATGCAGATGAAGGATGGGCGTTGCTCACCCCTCGGCGGTCGAGGAAGATTTTTCGTGGTACAAAAGGATTAGGAGGGCGGACGGTGCTAGCCTCTCGGCGGTCGAGTAGGATTGTTCGTGGCACAGAAGGATCGGGATGGCGGACGTTGCGGAATGATGATGTCACCACGAGCTTTGCGCGGGTGCGGTGTGGTTGGGGTGGGGAGTGGTGTCGCTATGGCCCTGGGGAGTATTGTGGGTCCCCGTGAACGGCTTTCGGGTTGTGGCCATCGTGTTTTTTTTTGTGGAAATGTTTACATTTGGTATCGTGTTTTGAGTACAAGCCCGCACATGATGCACACATGGGTGTGCAGGCCTCCCTCTCTTTGGATGCAGCGTGGATGTGGGCCGTCATAACACCTCGGGGTGAAACGAGGCGAAAACACACCCCAGACGTGGTCCGTACGTACCTTGGGGAGGCGTGATTTTTTCTCCCGAGCCGACCTGATGTTCACCCTGGGAAGGGGCGCTCAATCCAGTGTGTGGAGAGAAAAACCGTAGGCCGCGGGTCATTGGTAGCTTGGCTGTTGTAGAGCAAGAAAATGTGATGCCCAAAAAAGTGAAGGCTCACCTTCGGGAAATAGGTGGCTTGCATCCCAGGGGCGACGCAAAAGGACATGGCCAACGTAATCGCGATCGCACCGTTGCATCTCAACGCCATGACCGTACAGTCCCGGCTTTGCGTACAACCTGCAGAATTTGCCAGAGGAGAAGTTGCATCATGTACGGGGTATGTATATTTTTTTCTCGCCGCAACGTTTTTCGTGAATGTGTGCGCTCTTAGGCTAGCGGCGTCTTTGCTGCAGGTCCGACTGCTGTAACCCGCTGCGTTTGATCACTCGCTCTTGTGTATTCGTGTTGCCCATGGCCTGTGGGACGTACGTCTGTATTGCGCAGGAACCAAAAGTCTTGTTTATGCAAAGCAGCTTTTTTCTGCTTCTGGGGAAGGGTCTCTTCGTGCATAACACGTCCTCGATGTGTAGAGCCAGTTTCTTCAGCTTTGGGCGTCAAGCACACGCGCCACGGGTGGCTGGCGGTCCTCGGGCATGCGCTGTAATGTACCGGCGATACCCCTGCGTGCTCCTGAGCAGGAAGCGTGAGACAAGACTCGTCAGCCCCCAGCGAAACATGTCTCGAAGCACGAAGACAGGCGAAATGGCACTAGTCTACATGTACATCGTCCCTTTTGCGTGCTACTAGCGAAAGGGCAGCGACTGTCGGGATAATGATTCTTGGCCAAACCATTCACAACATGGTGTCGTTGTAGAGAAGAAGAGAAGAGGTTGAAGGAAGGGCCCCAAGATCGTGGTAGTGGTAACTTTGGCGCGTCATGTACGGAGAGGGCAGGAAACGTCGATAATGTTGTTCCGTGAGATTCAGGCAAAGGCAGGGGGCCAAGAATAGATGAGTGTAGCCTGGGGCCTTCTCGAGGATCCGCACACTTCAGGTGGCGAAGGATAGCGCACCCTTTTTGACCGATTTTAAGAGCTCGATTACTTCACCAAGAGAGGACGTCAACATCAGAACTATGAGCCTTCTCGGTCCCAACGCCGCCATTTTCGGCACCGTCCTGTTTTTCTGCAGGGCAATCAAGCCTTTTATTGACGATCGGTCCACGGGGTGTGGTGTCTTACGCAACGCCCGTCGGCGTGGTGTCCGGAATGTTCTGACGATCTATTGTGCGTACTTGGCTATTTAGTGTCGGTTTTCAATCCTTGTCGCCCACACAGGAAACGATGCGATTACAGCGAAGTTCGTTGCCTGGAAACCAATGTGTTGTCCTGGAGAGCGAGCACCAACGAGAGAGGCTCAAGGCTGCAAGGCGGCAAGACTATTGGAGTCCGAATTGCTGAGTCGAAAGGGCTGCCAGCGTGATGGGTTGCTTAAAGTATCATGATTTACGTGATTCGGCGTCGCCGCCGGAAAAGTTCGAGTCGTCCTGAAGGGCGGCCTCTCTCCCCGATGAGGAATATAAGAATACGTGCCCAAGAAAATGGGCAGGTACTCACAGGTTTTCTAATTGGTCCACAGTTTTCGCCGTACGCCTGCCGATGCTGGCTTGTGAAGTGGGCTGGCGGCTTCGTTCCTTTAGAGCAACTCCCTGCATGGCCAACATCTACGCCAACGACACAAAACCTCTCGGCATAGGCTTGCTCCACCAACAAACACGTCTCCACGTGCCCGTGCCGGTTCCCGCCCCAAATGAGCCCTCTCTCCTCTTATGTCTCGTCGTCCCCGGAGTCGTCATCGAACGCCGACAACATCTCCATCATTGCGTCGCCCCCCTCTTCCCCAACAAACTCTTCCACCGCCTGCTCCTCCTTCGGTCCACCCCCGCCCTTCCCACCGCCGCCCTTCTTCTCGACACCTGCGCCGCCACCATTCTCCCCCACAAGCTTGTCGCGTAGGAATGCCGTCCTGTCGGCTGTGGACCCCGGGGATGCGGTAGACGGGGGCATCACTTCAATCTCCGAGGAAGTCGTTTCAGGGTCCTCTCCAGCCGCCCCTGCCGCCTGCGACGAGAACAATGTCGTCGAAAAGAAAAAGAAAAAAATGTCACACGCACGGGATGTCGAGAGATATACGGCGACACAAAATTGACCGATCGAGCTTCGGAATCCATCAACTTTTCGACTGTCTCCGAATCCATCATGTCTCGAATATTTAGGTTTTCTCTGCCGGCATGTCCTCCACTCTTCGACTCGGCGCTTCAGCAACAACCGTCGACTTGTATAGCGCCCGAATGCATTGCGCTTTGTGACTATGTCCTCCCTTTGGTAAAAAGCTGATGCAAACAGGTGAGGGAGGTAAACAGAACGCGGTACCACTTTCAAAAACTTAGCAGTCAGTTAAGAACTTGAGCCTACAAAATCCAAAATCTTGGACGTGAGAACAGGTGCTTCGTCAAAAATCCTACATTCAAATCAATTTCTTCACAATCCCATAGACAAAAAAAGAAACGAGCCTCGGCCGAAACAGGAGGTTCTGAAAGTGGCGGCGCGTTATGTATACCGCCTGTCATCGCAAATCGTGGTACCTCCTTGCCCTCGCTTTCTGCGAGGCTCTTGAGGTACTCGATGCGGCCCTGCTTGTCTTGCTCGTCCCGCTGAAGAAAGTTCACGAGGTTGTAGCACACCTACGCGGTGTTCGGCCATCGCGCGAGATGGTGGGGGG